CGACCTCGGATAAGCGGGAGAAAATGGATGGATGGATGGATAAATAAACAACTTGCACTTGTCTGGCTTGTCCTAGATCAGTTTGTGAGAGGTTTAGTACACAATCTGCTCTTAATTTCAATCTTCTGTTGTACTGCATCACGACTGATGTCAGGATATTTAATAATTATTTATTTTTATGCTTGTAATGGCTAGAAAGGCATAGCTAACAATTGAACAGAGGGCTCAAATTGAAATTTTGAGTGAAGAAGGGTTGTCTAATCGCTAAATAGCCAGAAAATTAAAGGTTTCTAAGCATGGAGTGATCTACTGTATACAGAGAAAAAGGGTGACAGGAAGCAACAGTGACTGAAAACTGGGGCAAGTAAAGTGACATCAAAAGCTGAAGATCAACACTTAGTTGTGACGTGCAAAATAAATTGGACGATGACTGAGGGCTGTGATGAATGTGAACAGAGGGAAACCGGTATTTCTTAATACAGTCGAGCAAAGAAGAGAGAAGTTGGACTGCATGGTTGAGTTGCTGCCAGAAAATCTTTACTTTATGGTGTTAACAGGAAAAAGAGATTAATATAGGCTAAACAACACAACCACTGTTGTGTATTCTGGACAGGGAGCAGGTCTTGGGGACAGATGAATGTCCATCCATGGGACGAGTTGGACCAACAAATTTAAAATGAGCATCTACCAAATGAGACAGAACTGTTTGCATGCTTGAAAAGGTGCTGGTAGAGTTTGGACATGAGTTATTTCCAAAAATTGCTGGAAAGGATGAAATTGATGGAAAGTTGCTGTGAATCTGTGGTGCTGTGTTAAAGGCAATGGGTGGTTATTTTGATGAATCCCGTACTTGGGCACTTGCATTCATTAAATCGCACTTACAATGCACAGTAAATTGCTAGATTACACTTCAAAACCAGTCAGTTACATTTGTTTTAATTATTTGAATGTTATCTTGTAAGAGAAGTTTGAAAAAGCAGTGTATCGTTTATTTTTTTTAAAAATCGGCAGGTGTGCCAAAACGTCTGGCTTGTAGTGTATGTTTATGTTATGTTAAAGAAAAAAAAAGATCAAAATAGAGACAGAGAAAACAGAGAAAGTTAAACTGTTAAGGTATATGGTTTTTTTTGTCATTTGTTCGCTATGGTGTCACTATGGAAATAAAGTTTGTAATAAACAAGAAAGCTGACATGTATATGAAAAACTGACAATTTGATCAACTTTAGTACCATATCAGCATTTTATTATTAGCTTGTAACAACTCGTATAAGGCTCTTACAATAAGCTTATTTTTTAGGATAATGAGGAGGATGGCATCTTGGAAGAGAACAAGGTTACCACTGAGAACCTCCAGACATCCTACCAGCATGAGTTAGGTGTGACACCGTTGGATTTGTCTCAGCCACATCAGGTAATGGTGAAACCTCATTAAAGACATCTTTTTTAGATGCCATTTAAAAATATCTACTTCAAGATATATCAACAAGAGATTCCCAAAGTGGGGAGTGGATAATTTTCCAATATGTTTATTATAAAAAAAAATTTAAATGTGAAGAAAATCTACTGTACTGTGGGGGACCCTCTGGTCAGCGAAATGTGCCAAGGAGGACCCCATTACTCGGCAAAACATATGAAGGGGGTCATGGTCTCTGGTACTGTTGTTTTAGTCTGTACACTGCAAAACCACAGATTGATGCTCATATCTTTCATGTAACCTTCATTTCTGCCTGGCTTTGCGTCACAGCCTCAGTCATAATTAATTGTGAGCTCTAGAGTTTGCTGGACTTTAGAAAGCTCTGACTGGTTATAGGCACTTTTGTAAAAGCCACTGAGGATCCAGTATATATATCAAACAATATAACATATTATCATCAATATATCAATATAACATCTATATCCAGCAGAGGATAATGACCATCATGCCTTACTGTTTGTGGCTTTATGGCATGACATAAATGGAGAGTGTAGTTTCTTAATCTATGTGTAAGGCAATAAAACTCACGTCTCCCATGCTAGGCTGCATCAAATGGGCCAGTGCCAGACAGCCATGACACTCAGCCTGGTCTCCCAGAGAGACCTGAACCAGACCTAACCAGATCAGATCTGCTGGTCCTCACCAGGACCACTCCAATCACACCCAAGGTTCCAAAGATACCAGGATCCAGCAGCAGCCAAAATGCAGAGAAACGAAAGCAGCGGGAGAAGAAGCGTGCCACACAGCAGGATGGCGTGAAATCCGTAAGCAGCGAACAGTCATCGGAATCGGAGGAAGAGGAGAATGTAGCGGCGCCAGAGAGTGAATCTGACAGCATTTTGCCATCGTCTGTTCTGAACCAGGCTGCTGTCATTGTTGAGCACTTCATCAACAGCACCCGGAGAGGGAGTCTACACTCTGTGGGTGGGCCCTGCCAGAAGCACGTCAGCCGGAGTGGCAGTACCATGAGTATGAGCACAGATTTTCTGGAGACGGTGCAGAGGCTCCACAACAACCCTGTGGAAACTCGACAGAACCTGTGCAATCAGGACTCCACCACCACAAACTGTCCCAAAGCAAATAACCTCTTTGAGGGGAGTGGTATACCAATGCGGAGGCAAGACTCCAGCCTCTCCAGACAGGACCAGCTGCTCATTGACAAAATAAGATGTTATTATGAGAATGCTGAGTACAAGGAAGCCGACTTCAGTCGCACACGTAGAGAGAGTCTCACCTCCATTCCCACAGGCCTGGTCCAAACCTCTGTCAGCCAACTCAACAGCATCCCCAAAGATGAAGCTCTTGCTAGGGAGACAAAGTGTGCTGCTATCGGCTATCCTTCCACCAGTAGTATTTCTACACCCAGTGAAGCAATTGACACATCAGGTTTAGATAAAACACAGCAGCCTATATTCTTTGGCTTTGGTGCAAAATCCTGCACGAGTTTCGAAGACATTGTGCCTGGCTCTCAGATTGAGTCTTTAGTAATATTTGAGAAGATAGATGGATGCGTAGCACCCCGAAAAATCCTAGGCCACTCAGTCAACCTGGATGAGGACCCGACCCGGGGCCATACCCATCAGGGTCGTCTTTTCAGGCCTGTTCACCTTCAGATGGACTTCGAGGAAGACAGGCAGATGCAGGACGAGGAGAAAGCAAAAACTACAGTTTTTCAGTTGGCTCGGCAATACAGTCAACGCATGAAAACCACCAGAAAATCTGTACAGAACAACCCAGATCTGGACGACCTGCATGATGTTAACCTGCCTTCTGTGTTGGAGGAGCGGCCAGAGACAGAGAACCGAGGTAGGATTCATGTAACCGAGACTGCTGAGCTAAGACCACACTGAACAGTTTTCATAGTAACATAATCATACAGCAAGTAAATTCACGTCTGCATTTTTAAATGAATGCAGTGTTTTCAATCAGAATCTGAATCTTTATTGCCACACAACCAAAGTCGGTTGAATTTTTGGTTGGCGTGACTTGCTACTGTTAGGGACATTTTAGTAGACTAACAGTTACAGAGAATAAAGACAAAACACAAAAGACACATAGTAGAGAGGAGTAAATGGAAGGTAATAAATACTGTTTGTGCAAATTTAAGTACAGGCAGTCCCTGGGTTAAGAACGTCCACCTTACAGATAACTCATACTTATGAACAGACTGTAAAGTCTATTAAATTAAAAATTTGGGTTAAATACAATGGTCCATAATAACGAACACATGCACTACTTTGTGACTCTCGTGAAAACATTGTGTGGTTTCAGTGGTTCATTTGCTCGAGGTACAGTACAGTACCATATGTAGTTACTTTTATTATTACTGTATTATTATTATTGCTATTATTATTTTTCCAACTTACCTACAAATTTAACTTATAGACAGACTTAGAGAATGGATCTCGTTCATAACCTGGGAACTGTCTATACAGCAATGGTACAAGTTTACACTGATACAAAACACATACATCAACAGATATAGTATGTAACACATAGATCACATGCATGTGCTATTATATTGTGTGAACAGAACGTCAGGGGTCTGTCCTGATGAAAATGCAAACATTTACACTATGTAAATGATTAATTCTTTTTTGATAAAAAGCAGGGGCATTGTTGTGGATAAATTAGTGAACATGTGTTTTTTATTATAGTTTTTTTCTTTTAAATGCAGACTGCCTTACGGCATTCTCTAACCAAATCCAGTGACACTATAATGCATAAAATGTCATATATGTTTTGATGAATCTGATACCCATATTCTAAGATTTATATATTTATGTAAATACATTTTCAGTGTCTCAAAATAAAAAAGGAACAGAAGTTGGATTTGAGGTGAGACCACTGTATTGTTGAACCTAAGAGGAGTGTAGTGAACTACTCTTAAACAATTGCATTAATGGTTACAGCCCTGCCAAGGTCCCCCAGCCCTCAGGATCGATCACCCAGCCTCTCCTGCCCCATGAGCGCACCCAGCTCCACGCAGACCGAGGGCTTCCACTGGCCAGACGTGCGTGAGCTTTGCTCCAGGTACTCCTTCCAGGGAGAAGATCATGCCCAGGACTGCTTGCAGGCTTCATCCGGGACCCTGGGTCGGGGCCCCAGAAGGCACTCCAGCAGTTCCTCCAGCTTCTCAGGGTCTCAGACTGCTGTCTACAGCCAAGCCGTGGCCTACAAGCCTCAGAGGTGGGAGTCCTGCCAGGGCAAGCCACAGATGTGCAGGGCCGGATCCCCAGAGCACAGGCTGTGTGAGCTGCCTGGGCCACGAGCCACAGAAAATGCTGCTTTGCTAACTGTGCAAACAGATGGGACAGAACTGTACGAAGCACGAGTATGGAGAAAGAAGGACAAGCACACCTCACCTACATGCCAAGGCAAGATCTCCGCCATGGCTGACATCGAACATAGCAGTTCCAACTGGGATTCAGAAAGGGAGGGTGGTCGTGTGATAGGGGCTTTGGCTGTGAGGTGCGGTGAGAGCAGAGAGAATGACCACCAGTCAGATCTCCATGAACAGTATGAGGACACAGAGAACACAGGAAACACGGAGACTGACACTGGACAGCAAAGTAACGTCAAAAACCTGAGGGAGAAGTTCCTCAGTATGACATCGAATGTAAGCATGCTTTAAACGGGCCCTATTATGCTCATTTTCACTTTTCAAAATTTTATTTTTGGGGTCTACTAGAATAGATTTACATGATTCAGTGAACATTATTATTCTGATATGGTACATCTCTATTCACTCTGTCTGGAACACTCTGTTGGAACCCAGATGAGCTCAGTGTACTTTTATTGGTCAACTTGCCTGATTAGACAGTTTGCCTGATTGGTCAGCTTGCCCTACATGTTCTGCCAGTGTCTTGCAGGCTGCAGACAGATCCTTGCAGGTAGTCGGCCAATAAGGATTGTGTTAGAAGCAGTGTTAATTTTGACAGCAAATTTTTATTTAGTTTTAGTCATAGTATTTTAACTAAAATGTAATTTAGTTTCAGTCATAATTTAGTCATCTAAATTATTTTAGTTTTACTTGACTAAATATCATAAGATTACAGTAGACTAAAACTACAGTTGATTTAGTCGACTAAAATTAAAAGTGCAAAATGTAATGTTTAAAGTTTCCCTTCGTTTTCTGAAAGTCATTATGTTCACCAAGATGAAATGAAACCAATGCTAAGGAATGGTATTAAGGCCTGACTGTGCAGTACACAAATACACAGATTTCACTCTTATTTGAAACACAAACATATGTTTATTTACCCAGAAACGGAGTACTGTAAAATCAGTACTGCCGTTAGTGCAAAAATAAAATCACTTCAAAGAAAAAGTGCATAGGCTATAATGGCACCAGGCCTGCTCTCTCTGAATATTAAAATAAATATTTGTAGAAGTAGTTTACTGGTGATTTCCTGTTCGTTGACGTTTCTGCTTTTTAATAACTGTTTAAAGTAATGTTATTTGTGATATAAATCAACTCAGGTGAAACAAAAAAATGTTTTCACGGTTGCCAAATCTCAAGAATCTGGCATAACACTCACGCTTTCAGACTCACGCAGGAAATCTTACGGTAAATCTATATTATACCATTATAAACCTAAAATTAGCTACGTTAAAAGTGTATTTACACGATTAAATACAAAAGCAGACTATTTACAAGGCCAAAATGCATATGTGGGCAGACATCTCAAATTGAAAATCTCACTCCAGTTGGCAACCTGCATTTTATTTGAAATGAAAAGTAAAACACATTGTTTTCGCTTGAAATGGTTTGTTATTCCGTTTATGTTGTTACTCCGATAAATATAAAACGAATATGAGAAACAGACGTCACTTTTTATATCTTTTCAATATAATAAGACCACCCATATCCTACTCTAACAGCGATTAACATGATAAGTTCGTATGTATTTATATTAAAATAAGACTTTAATTTTATTACCGGTGTGGTTTTATCGAAACCAATACTTAAATCCATGAACACTAAAATATATGACTAATACACGTCTGTATTAGGGTTTTATGGCTTAAGTTAAGCACTTTATATAAACATGCACAATTTTCACATTTTATTTATTTTCTCTTATTTTGAAATGCAGCCCTACTTTTATTTAGTAAATGAGAAAACATGCATATCGACAGTCATACATATATGTTCAATTCTATGTCACGCGACAATAAATATTGTCAAAAAGGTTTTGAATTGTACTGAATTAATTTGATTTTTCAGTCAGGTATTGATTACATGCAATGTTGACACAACTAATACGCTACTTAAATATATATCACACTAAAGTTGGACATTATGATCTTCTGGACCTTTGCTTCAAGAAATGTTCTCTAACTAGACCTCTTTAAATTTTAGTTGAATACCTCTGCCTTACGTGAACTACATTAGTCAATACACTTTGTCATAGTCTTAGGCCTCGCAAAATCATTTTCATTTAGTTATTGTCTCATTTTAGTCTGAAAATAAAGGTTGTTAACGATAACTGGCGAAAATTTTTCGTTAACAAAATTAACACTGGTTAGAAGGTGATCTCACCATGTCATGGGGGTAAGGGTTAGAATTCCAACGAGGCATTTCAGACAGATTAGAGAAGAGTGGTTTCAGTGGTGTACTTTGGGCCATAAGACGTTTCAGACTGATTACATGAACATGAAGCTACTGTATATAACATGCTAAAGGAAAGGGAAACACTGGGAAAGCATATGAAGGCCCATTTAAACCTGTTCATTTCAGTTCATTCAAGTTTACTTTTGTGCAAAATGTGCCATTGTTGCTGCTTAAGTGTAAAAATATGAATATAATATCCTCATGCTGCCTGAATATTTATACACATTAAATTTAAATAGTTTCAACATAACATTTTCCTCATATTTTCATATTAAGCTCAACAAAAGCTCCCTTAACCAGCTTAACTGGTCAAGAAGTTAACCACCCAATAATGTGATGGTTTGCCTCATATAGTGGAATGCTGAATATTAACAATTTCATTTGGAGAATTTTGAAACATTTTGACCTTAGTACCTAACTTGTGAGAAAATCATTTGTTTAAAACAACATTCTTGTGACCTTAGATTATAGCCAAACTGATGTTCGGGAAAAGTATGTATGTATGTCTATGTGTGTAGATACCTGTATATACGTCAAATAAAATATATGGAGATTGAATGATGAATATAGCTATAGCCATTTTGTAAGTCAAGCTATCACAGGGCTTTTCTTTGGCAGTCATAAGTGTGCTTTCTTTGCTGTACTGTTCTGTGTTAATTTTGCTGGTCACACTGTACACGTTCACTGTCACTGTGGACACGTACACAGATACATTTGTTATGATGTATATAATGCTAATGATGATGATATTAAGGGCTGCTTCAAGTGCTAAGAAGCACTGCGAGAGATCAGCCTTCCATGTGTTTCTTTAGCTGATCATGAGGATCGTATGGTAGGCCAGATTTAAAGTGCAGTGTGTGTCAAGGGCTGTAGGCCTCAGCAAAGGATGATGTTCTCCTTATTACTCATTCAACATATATGCATTTATCAGAGGTCGTAATATGTCATGATAATGCAATATTATGCATTGTGTCATTGTACGGTAGGTCTCCCAGAATACCGTTGAAGTGTGTTTCTCAGCATTTCACATCAAATGACCAAATGCTACAAGGTTTATAACTTCATGGGTGACTTGACATCAGTGACAGGTATCAGTCCAAAAACACAAGATCAATCTGCCTGGTGTTTCTAAATGGGCCATAATGTGCAATTAGGTGGGGACCAAATGTCCTCACATTGTGATAAAAGCATATTATTTTTATTTTGACCTTGTAGGGACATTTTTTTCAGTCCACACAAGGGTAACCTCAATTTTATGAAATTCTGTAACTGCAAACAAAAAACTAAAAACTGGCAAACGTCTTGTCTGGTCATTTATGGTTAAGGTTGGGGTTGGGTAGGGGTTAAGGTTGTCATTGTTGGGATTAGGGTTATGATCATAGAAATGAAAGGAGAGCGCCCACAAAAAATAGATGCTTAATCTGCGTGCGTGTGTGTGTGTGCGTGTGAGTGTGCGCCCAGCAATGGAATGGATATCCTCTCCTGGTTCACTTACTTTGTGTGCTGTGCTTCCTGCCTTAGCTTATAGAGGCCATCCCACAACTCTGTACTAAGAAAGCTGCAGGAGGATGGATGGATGGATGTATTTTAATTATTGTTTTCAGAGGTGTTTTACTGGTCTTGTGTTCACATTTATAATGTTAATAGTTTAATTATTTAAAAACACATATATTGGAAATAGACAATAATGCTTCGAATCTCAAATGTATTTGTTAGGTTCGTTTTTACTGATAATTTTTTGGGCCAAGTTTATTTGTATATACTTTTATTACTTCACAAAAACTCCTCAAACACATTTGCCTCAGTTTCTTCATGACAAATACAATGTGATTTTTGACATTTCTATAGTACTTTGCATATTAATATATTCCCCTAGTTTCTCTCATAGCAGTTTGTTGGTTTATTGGGACCTTTTATATTCATGTTATATATGTTTTATAATTATGTTATGATTATGCACTTTGTAATTATGAACTGTTGTGGCACCAAAGCACCTCCAGTTAGGACCAGGAAGATGCAGAAAGCTAACTTAACCCTAAGCCTTCACTCCAAACAGCTCCTCATCATGTGACACATGAAGGTGAGCTCCCTGGGCAAAATGGATCAGGACCAGGGGGACAGAAAGCTGCCATGTGCTCAGTACCGGTATAGGAGCCCATGAGGCCCCTAGACAGGCTTCACTGCCAGTGACCTCCATCTGAGACAGAGAAATTGGATGGGTGAGTCGACATCCCTCCGGAGATGATGCCTTTAGCGCACTTGCTGGGGGCAGCTTGGCGCACCCACACAAAAGAATATGGTTGTGACTTTTGCACAATCAATTTTCTGTTGCTCGTTTGCACATCATGTGCACATGTCCAGCTATGATGAATACACCATCAGAGTGGGCGCTTTGCTGTTTGCCAGTGGCTACATGGTACTATGTATATGGCTGTACCAACACAAACGGCAAACTCCTGCAGTGAATATTTGGCCATTTTGGCATTATATATTCCTGATCAGAGGAACAGTGCCTCCATTATTTATTTTCCATATTTCCATATTCCATGTCACCGTGTGGATCAATTAACCTTGTCAGAGTAGATACCCTAATCCTGGTCTGTGAGTTTGGCAGGTTGGTTTGTGATGGGGAGGGGGGTGGGACTTGGATTGACCACAGGTTACCCCACTAGAAACCCGACGTAGGGTGACTGGGGGAATCTATCGAATAGCGCACCTCTGACTTTGCACAGTGCTGAAGCAGTTAGCCGAATCTGTTACCATTATTTATTTGTATCATTCCAAATTTCTTAATAAAAATTACAGTCCTGAATGGTATTTATTTATTTTGGTTGGGGGTAGGAGAAAAACAATTTCTGTAGGCGGGGGCCACCATACAAGCTAGCACCACCACTGCCTAGGCAGGCACCTGTGTCACCTAGTTGACCAGCACTGAATGTGTTGCTGATTATATAGAAAGAAACAAAAAATCAAAACTTCTTTGCATTCCTAATTTGTGCCAGTTTACATATATAAATATATTGTAATACACACCATTGTAATGACAATAAGAAGTGGGAAAATAGCTACAGTCATGCGTTGCTTAATGACATGGATACATTTTGAGAAATGTGTTGTTAGGTGATTTCATCTTTGTGTGAACATCATGAGTGTGTTTACATAAAACTAGACGGTGTAGCCTGCAACACACCTAGGCTACAGTAAACTACACTCTAAAAAGTATAGTATAGTAAATATATAAACCAGTAACACAGTTGTTTATCATGTTCAAATATTATGTACTGTACATAAATTGCATGTGCTATACTTTTACTTGACTGGCAGTGCAAGAGGTTTGTTTATACCAGCATCACCACAAACATGTGAGCAATGCATTACGCTACAACGTTATGGTGGCTGCAACATCACTAGGCAATAGGAATTCTTCAGCTCCATTACGATCTAATGGGAGCACCATTGTAAATGTGGTGCATTGTTGACTGAAACTTCATTATGCAGTGCATGACTGTAGATGCATTATTGCCATAGCCTTCTCCTTCTCCTCAAATTCTACTCCAGCACTACTACTACTACTACTACTGTTGCTGCTACTACTGACAATGGAGGCTGATAGATGAACAATATCCGATTCATTCCATGAAGTTTCCCAGAACTGCAGGAGTCAGCAATGTGAGTGACACCATTTTTCCACCTTCAAGTATGGTGGTAGCTTTATGGTATTGTACTGTAGAGCTGTTTTTACTCAGCATGTTATGACTGACAGGCAAAAGTTCATGGAAAATCATGGAAGGATAATGTTACACTCAACATTGTCTTATCTAGAAAAACATGAATGTTCTGATGCGGCCTAGTTAGATCGCTTCCTTTGATAAATAGGGCTGCATCCGGTGGACATCAGTATGGACCTCAGAATCTGGCTGCAGAACACTGGGCGATCTCTACTAGGAGGAACTCCATTGTGGGGCCAGAAATCACATGACCTCCACACCTGCCCCAGACATAATGTTAAACAATCTTCAGAAATGGAGGCAGCATCTCCTCCTTCCGTCCCTGAAGTTTGGTTAACGTCATGTCTGGGCCAGGTGTGGAGAACATGTACTTTCCGGCCCCAAAGTGGAGATCCCCCCAGTGGAGTCGCCCAATGTTGTGCAGCCAGACCCTTCTTGAAACAGGAGCTGAGAGTCCAGCTCTTGTTTGATTTGCAAGCTCAGATGATTACATTAGGTTCCACAGACTGTGTACATCATTAAAGTCACTCATGGAAGGCCCTGCAATCGTTGGCTATAAAAGATCCATCTTGCCATCTCACAACAACCTGAAATTATCGACCTGTAAGTGTTGGTGCAGCCTTAAAAGAATGTAAAAGCAGTCGTGCAAGTAACTGACTGGAAGCCTTAAGGCGTAAAGTCTTGAAAAACTTTTGAAAAACCAAACTTTATTTACCCTTGAATATTTTATGGGCATAATCAGGAAGCACGGGCATCTGGATGTTAAATTCAGCAATAATAATCCCAATGATGCCGCTTCCAATTGGCTCAGCGAATTAAGCCCTTGTCTGCGATCCACAAGTTGTTGGTTTAAATCCCATCCTTGGAATCACATCTGTTGGGCCTTTATTCCCCTGAAATGCTTTAAGGGTGTCAGATACATGACTTGACCCTGTGCTTATTCTATTTCAGCTCAGACGTCTCATCCAATGCAATAGTTGCTTATTTATATTGCTGATAGTTGAAGAATGGAAAAAAATAATACACATATATATATCCATCCATCCATCCATTTTCCAACCCGCTTATCTTACTGGGTTGTGGGGGGCCCGGAGCCTATCCCAGAAGCAATGGGCACGATGCAGGGAACAACCCTGGACAGGGGTCAGCCCATCGCAGTGCACACTCACACACCATTCACTCACACAAGCATACCTATGGGCAATTTAGTAATTCCAATAAGCCTCATCATGTCTTTAGGAGGAAACCGGAGTACCCGGAGGAAACCCCATGACAACACGGGGAGAATATGCAAGTTCCACAGACATGTAACCCAGGTGGACACGTGAACCCAGGTCCCAGAGGTGTGAGGCAAAAGTGCTAACCACTGCACCACCTTTTATATATATATAAGGGCTGTCAAAATTAACGGGTTAACACGGATTAATCCATCATCTTGATTAATCAGATTAAAATGTTTAACACAATTAACCCATCTGCAGCGCAGAATGACTCAAAATCCCTGAAATGTCTCTATCAACCCATTTCAGGCAGTTTTGGTGCGTTCCATTTGCCCTGGGAACTCGTATTCCGAGTCGGATTCTGAGTTTTGAAGCCGGAAGTGACGACATGCGCGCTCCCCTTTCTCGGAGATCCGAGAAATATCTCGGATAGCACAGAGGATCCTGAGTCCAGAATATAAGATGGCTGCGACTTTTATCAACAGAAGGGAAAGTTGTAGTTTTATACTGTTTAAGCACTACTTCTCATTTGTGGCATATTAAATCAGTCGCACACTCTATACCGTCCAACTTATCTGTGGACGTGTTGCTACGGAGTTTTATACGTAAAGCACCGCACGTAGTGTGTGATCAACTGATATTGCTAACAATGGAAATTGACCAGGCTAGAATTGGATTTCATGATTAGTCGGTCTATTTGTCGGATTTACGGTAGTTCGGGCTAATTGTAAGTGAACGAAGATAAAGACTATTTAAACTGAGGTACCTTAAATCTGACAAGTTGTCCGGCTAAGCAAAAAATCGTTCTTTTTGATATGGGTCCATGGTATTGCACTTCCGTGGCAGATGGAATGCATCTGACTCGTGTTCAAGATGTTCAATAAACATGTTAAGTGCATATATATTCCCTTTTTTCTTGAGTCTGTTTTGCTCATGCAAAATGAAATGCGATTAATATAGATTAAAAATGAATGATATTTAATCATGATTAATCGAAATTAATCCACAGCAACCCTGTGATTAATCTGATTAAAAATTGTAATCGTTTGACAGCACTAATATATACACTCACCTAAAGGATTATTAGGAACACCATACCAATACGGTGTTTGACCCCCTTTCGCCTTCAGAACTGCCTTAATTCTACGTGGCATTGATTCAACAAGGTGCTGAAAGCATTCTTTAGAAATGTTGGCCCGTTTTGATAAGATAGCTTCTTGCAGTTGATGGAGATTTGTGGGATGCACATAAGAACATAAGCCACCCAGGGCGGGGGGGACATTTCAATGTCTCAACAGAAATCGAGACTCATCAGACCAGGCAACATTTTTCCAGTCTTCAACTGTCCAATTTT